CTTGTAAAGTGTGTCCTTTAGTCTCCTTGTAAAGTGTCCTATAGTCTCCTTGTAAAGTGTCCTATAGTCTCCTTGTAAAGTGTCCTATAGTTCCTTGGTAGTCTCCTTGTAAAGTGTCCTATAGTCTCCTTGTAAAGTGTCCTTTAGTCTCCTTGTAAAGTGTCCTATAGTCTCCTTGTAAAGTGTCCTATAGTCTCCTTGTAAAGTGTCCTATAGTCTCCTTGTAAAGTGTCCTATAGTCTCCTTGTAAAGTGTCCTATAGTCTCCTTGTAAAGTGTCCTTTAGTCTCCTTGTAAAGTGTCCTATAGTCTCCTTGTAAAGTGTCCTATAGTCTCCTTGTAAAGTGTCCTATAGTCTCCTATAGTCTCCTTGTAAAGTGTCCTATAGTCTCCGTGTAAAGTGTCCTATAGTCTCCTTGTAAAGTCTCCGTGTAAAGTGTAAAGTGTCCTATAGTCTCCTTGTAAAGTGTCCTATAGTCTCCTTGTAAAAAGTGTCCTTTAGTCTCCTTGTAAAGTGTCCTATAGTCTCTTGTAGTCTCCTTGTAAAGTGTCCTATAGTCTCCTTGTAAAGTGTCCTATAGTCTCCTTGTAAAGTGTCCTATAGTCTCCGTGTAAAGTGTCCTATAGTCTCCGTGTAAAGTGTCCTATAGTCTCCGTGTAAAGTGTCCTATAGTCTCCGTGTAAAGTGTCCTATAGTCTCCGTGTAAAGTGTCCTATAGTCTCCGTGTAAAGTGTCCTATAGTCTCCGTGTAAAGTGTCCTATAGTGTCCGTGTATAGTAGTCTCCGTGTAAAGTGTCCTTTAGTCTCCGTGTAAAGTGTCCTTTAGTCTCCGTGTAAAGTGTCCTATAGTCTCCGTGTAAAGTGTCCTATAGTCTCCGTGTAAAGTGTCCTATAGTCTCCGTGTAAAGTGTCCTTTAGTCTCCGTGTATAGTGTCCTTTAGTCTCCGTGTAAAGCGTCATGTAGTCTCCTTGTAAAGTGTCCTTTAGTCTCCGTGTAAAGCGTCATGTAGTCTCCTTGTAAAGTGTCGTTTAGTCTCCTTGTAATTTGTCATTTACTTTCCTTGTATAGTGCCGCAATAAGAGTCAAGGGACGTTTTATAAAATATCTTCCCCAACCTTTATTTCCTCCATGACTGAGATCCTGCACCGGAAAGATGTCTGACGGTTGTCCCTGTACAAGTGTTGTTTACCATGAACCCACCCCAATGTGGTATCACAGGTAAGATACAGGTATTGTATATCATGAACCCACTCCAATATGGTATCACAGGTAAGATACAGGTGTTGTATACCATGAACCCACTCCAGAGTGGTATCACAGGTAAGATACATTTGTTATGTGCCATGAACCCACTCTAATGTGGTATCACAGGTAAGATAAAGGTGTTGTATACCATGAACCCACTCCAGTGTGGTATCACAGGTAAGATACAGGTGTTGTGTACCATGAACCCACTCTAATGTGGTATCACAGGTAAGATAAAGGTGTTGTATACCATGAACCCACTCCAGTGTGGTATCACAGGTAAGATACAGGTGTTGTGTACCATGAACCCACTCTAATGTGGTATCACAGGTAAGATAAAGGTGTTGTATACCATGAACCCACTCCAGTGTGGTATCACAGGTAAGATACAAGTATTGTGTACAGTGAACCCACTTCAGTGTGGTATCACAGGTAAAATACAGGTGTTGTGTACCATGAACCCACTCTAATGTGGTATCACAGGTAAGATAAAGGTGTTGTATACCATGAACCCACTCCAGTGTGGTATCACATGTATGCAGCAGGTGACTGACTTCCTTTCTACGGCATCGCTGGTATATGGCGCTGGTTGTAGATCCGTTTCTCCAGCACAAAAAGATCAGGGACAGTCGCAGTTTTCTACCTGATCAGTGGAACTATTTTCTACTACTGCTATTGTGAGCCCAGGTGCTCGCGGTGGTTCAGTAGTCAGCACCTGATCCGTGGTTGGAATCTCTGTGAAGGAGGAGATTTAAAAACGATCTCAGCTCTCAGGTCAACACATCAAGACGATCTGAGCTGTACCATGAATGATTCTGGGAGGTTAAGGCAGCCGGTGACATACTTCTCACATCAACTACCTAACGCCATTGATCATGCAATGATCCGGCCAGGACGAGGGGTATATGGTGCTGGACAAGTTCCTCTTGAGGTGCGCTGGGTGTATGACACTTGCAATGTATTTATTTATACGAATCGCCGGTCGCCTTTCCTCCCTAGAACATTTCTAAGTATCCACATTAAGGCTGGGTCGATTTAACAGCCGGGGTCACTTTAAAAAAACCCAACCATTTAGATGGTGACTGACACCCATGATCACAGGCTCGACAGCCAAAGATGTTAGTATTCTAGTAGGCTCTGTCACAATTATAACACTGTAACAAGTATAACAACATAAGCAGTTGTTTCAATTATATAAGTTGTAACAGGTATAACAGTTCTAACAATTATAAAAGTTTAACACATAAAAATATTGGTAGCCGCAGTTATAACAATTATAACACGTAACAAAATATGGGCAAGTTGCAGTGGCGCAGTGATTAAACCTGGCCTGCCGGCACGAAGATCTTGGGATTTTTCCTAACTGACATATCGCTCCCAGATTGACCCAGGCGAACCCAGGTTGACCCATGTGAACCCAGATTGACCCAGGTTGACCCAGGTGGACCCAGGCTGACCCAGATGAACCCAGGCTGACCCAGGTGAACCCAGGCTGACCCAGGTGAACCCAGGCTGACCCAGGTGAACCCAGGCTGACCCAGGTAAACCCAGGCTGACCCAGGTGAACCCAGGCTGACCCAGGTTGACCCAGGCTGACCCAGGTGGACCCAGCCTAACATTTAAGTAAAGTCAGTTAAAGTCCTTTTTCCCCACCTTTAGGTGTTTTGGGAAAATAGGACTAGGCCTATATTTTTATAGACCAATCGTCACTTCTTGGGTGATTTGGTCAGCATCACGCCGGCCGTCTTTACTTCCCCGGACTGCACCTGGTACCCACTCAAGCCTAACATGGGTACCAGGAAATGTCCTTGGAAGTAAAGTCTCCTTGTGCGATATTACTCGATTGGTTATGTAGGTGTCGATTAAGGAAATCCACAGGTCACGGAACAGTCAAATATTTCAGGGGGTGGTAGATATGCTGCAATTAGTAGTGGGACCTAGGCTGCATGCAGTCGGGACCTAGGCTGCACTCTGTCGTGGGACCTAGGCTGCACTCGGTCGTGGGACCTAGGCTGCACTCTGTCGTGGGACCTAGGCTGCAATGTGTCGTGGGACCTAGGCTACACTCTGTCGTGGGACCTAGGCTGCACTCTGTCATGGGACCTAGACTGCACTCTTTCGTGGGACCTAGGCTGCACTCTGTCGTGGGACCTAGGTTGCACTCTGTCGTGGGACCTAGGCTGCACTCTGTCGTGGGACCTAGGCTGCAATCAGTCGTGGGACCTAGGCTGCAATCAGTCGTGGGACCTAGGCTGCAATCAGTCGTGGGACCTAGGCTGCAATCAGTCGTGGGACCTAGGCTGCAATCAGTCGTGGGACCTAGGCTGCAATCAGTCGTGGAACCTAGGCTACACTCTGTCGTGGGACCTAGGCTGCACTCTGTCGTGGGACCTTGGCTGCACTCTGTCGTGGGACCTAGGCTGCACTCTGTCGTGGGACCTAGGCCGCATGCACTCGTGGGACCTAGGCTGCAATCAGTCGTGGGACCTAGGCTGCTTGCAGTCGTGGGACGAAGGTGGGTTGGAGTTAGAGCCAGTTTATATGTTTTGGGGTCGTTAAAAGCATCAGACAACCGGGAAACGCAGTCTTACCACCCTCTAAAATGTTAGACTGTCCTGTGACGTCATTTGGGGGTAGGATATTAATAAAGCACCGATTACTCTATAAAATATAGGTTCACCAGCGTTTGTCTGTTTTGCCAATTTTCAAGAAAGAGCTGTTAACATGTCCGCGCGTTGTTCGCATCTTGGCACCTTTCCCTCTTTCCAGAGGTTGTTATGTTGCGCCATGAGGAGGCATGGGACTCACAGTCCATGGCGATGGCGAGTGTGACTAGCAAGACCCGCCCGCGTTAAAAAAAGTCTTCCACAATTATAGCATGGAATTTCATGACCGTTGTAGTCAACATTTGTATTTAGTTCGTTTCTTCTCAGACAATTAAATCTCATCATTTTCTGTAACCATTTCTGTGTTCATTCTTATTCCAGTCTTAATCTGCTCCCTCCAGGCAAAGCGACCCATGGCATTTTGTCCCTGCCCCCCCCCCCCGAATATACCTCAATACCTGTATCATTCATGTCCCGCTTGCAAACATCTTGATATGGAAGTAGAGATCTCCCCGTGCCGCAAATGTGTTAGATCAACAGTGCTAGCAGGTGCAGTTTGGTGTTTGTGATCTGAGGCCCCAGCTACCACCTGCTGTCAACTATGGTATCTCTGGTTGATGTTCACAGTTACGGTCTGGACTATGCGGGCAACCTGCGCCGCTCTAGCCAGTTGGCCACCACCAGGGAAACTGTCCTCACAAACTTGATCCCTGAGGCCCCGCAACTTTGGGAGCTCCAAGAGCAGGTGCGCTGTCTGCATTTCCGTCTGTCTGTCTGTCTGTCTGTCTGTCTGTCTGTCTGTCTGTCTGTCTGTCTGTCTGTCTGTCTGTCTGTCTGTCTGTCGGTCGGTCGGTCGGTCGGTCGGTCGGTCGGTCGGTCGGTCGGTCGGTCTGTCTGTCTGTCTGTATGTCTGTCTGTCTGTCTGTCTGTCTGTCTGTCTGCCTGCCTGCCTGCCTGCCTGTCTCTGTGTATGAGTGCTTGGTTGCCATTTGTTCACTTTTCTGACAGATAGACAGACAGACAGACATTACTATCATCTTCTTGTGGAGTTATCCCGAGTTCGCTGATTACTCCTCGATTCTGGTCACAGACAGACATGTAGACAGACACACTAAACCTACCCTATTCTTCCAACGGTTGAGAATAGGGCACACAGTCCTATATAACATTCTACCCGTTAGCATAGTCAGACAAACAGACACAGACTGACAGACAGACAGACATGCAGGTATGTGGGTAGGTAGGTGGATGGTTGTTGGATGAACGGATAGATAGACATCGGTGGGTAGATAGAAAGATAGACAGATAAACTGATAGTGCACACAACGTCCAAGCTCCCTCAACATTTCCGTACACTCATTTGCTCTCAATTTCTCTCTCACTCTCTCTCTCTCTCTCTCTCTCACTCTCTCTCTCTCTCTCTCTCTCTCTCTCTCTCTCTCTCTCTCTCTCTGTTGTCCAGGCTCGACAGGTGGAGCCACAAGTCACCGTTGGAAGATGTGTCATGGACGTCAGCGATCCCACCCACCATTCCTGGCCTTACCAGACGGTCACCTCCAGCCAGGCGATTGGCTGGTTTGCTGACCCCAAGAGGTTACCAAAATGTCGGCTGCGGGAATGGCCAAAGCATCTCAGATTTGTTTAGCTATGGGTCGCTTTGTTGCACCTTCAAGAACTTCTCTCGTGGCCGTGTATGTGTGTTGAAGCTGTAGATCACACACACAAACCCACACTTCCTCTCGCACTAACACACAGACACACACACGCGCGCTCGCGCACATTAGAACAAATCAGGTGAAACTGGTAGGTACCTCACTGGTCTTGTCCAGACATTGGTTGGTACCTTATTGGCCACACCAGGCTTATTTTATTTCAAGCTAGAAACATTCATGAAAACTGTGACCAGGTATTAAACACTGAGGTAACACTGCAACAGTCTTCTGTGAGTCGTGTCTGTTCCTATCCCAGGTTGTTCAAGGACCCGCTTTTCTGCATTCAAGCATATTGGGCACACAGGGCTAGATGTATATTTTATAGACCAATCTGCACTTGGTGGGTCAGCATCACCCCGACCACCTTTACTTCCTAGGTTTTTACGCGGGACCCATTTAAGACTGAGTCGATCTGGGAACCAAGGTCATTTATGGAAACCATTCGGGCTCCATCAGGACCAGAACCCAAGTCCTTTGGACCCGCAAGCGAGTATTTAGCCGCTACACCACGGGCGTGTTCACTTGACTTTATTTCTCTTGGATCGAGATCAGTGTTTCCCAAACTGTTTGGCCCATCACCCCCGTGCAGTGCCCCCCTCTGGCATTATCATCATCATCACGTACCACGGTGAAAAGCATAAGCACAATCACTCGTCATCCTAAACTATCAGCAGAATGACGGAGAAGGTGCTGTTCTCCGGCCACATTCGTGTGGCCAAGCGATCACGACATTTATCTCCTCGCCCTCCCGCCCCATTCGTGTGGCCAAACGATCATGACATTTATCTCCTCGCCCTCCCGCCTCATTCGTGTGGCCAAGCGATCACGGTATTGATCTCTTTGCCCTCCCGCCTCATTCGTGTGGCCAAACGATCACGACATTTATCTCCTCGCCCTCCCGCCTCATTCGTGTGGCCAAGCGATCACGGTATTGATCTCTTCGCTGTCCCGCCCCATTTGTGTGGCCAAGCGATCACGGTATTGATCTCTTTGCCCTCCCGCCCCATTCGTGTGGCCAAACGATCACGGTATTGATCTCTTCGCTGTCCCGCCCCATTCGTGTGGCCAAACGATCACGGTATTGATCTCTTCGCTGTCCCGCCCCATTCGTGTGGCCAAACGATCACGGTATTGATCTCTTCGCTGTCCCGCCCCAGTCGTGTGGCCAAACGATCACGGTATTGATCTCTTCGCTGTCCCGCCCCATTCGTGTGGCCAAACGATCACGGTATTGATCTCTTCGCTGTCCCGCCCCATTCGTGTGGCCAAACGATCACGGTATTGATCTCTTCGCTGTCCCGCCTCATTCGTGTGGCCAAACGATCACGGTATTGATCTCTTCGCTGTCCCGCCTCATTGGTGTGGCCAAACGATCACGGTATTGATCTCTTCGCTGTCCCTCTGTTGTCCCCAAGTTGTAGAGTCTGTTCCTTGCCTTAAAAAATACCTTCTACAATCAAACAACAAGAAGCAAACACTGGCGACAACTAAACATTCTCTCTCTGTCTTTCTCTGTCTCTCTCTCTGTCTTTCTCTGTCTCTCTCTCTGTCTTTCTCTGTCTCTCTCTGTCTTTCTCTGTCTCTCTCTGTCTTTCTCTGTCTCTCTCTCTGTCTTTCTCTGTCTCTCTCTGTCTTTCTCTGTCTCTCTCTGTCTTTCTCTGTCTCTCTCTGTCTTTCTCTGTCTCTCTCTGTCTTTCTCTGTCTCTCTCTTTCTCTGTCTCTCTCTGTCTTTCTCTGTCTCTCTCTGTCCCTATCTTTTTCTCTCTGTCTCTCTACTGCTGTCTCAGTTTCATTCAATGCTTCCCAGCTGCACCTGAGGCTGCCTCTGTGGCGTCCTTCAGATTTGGTCAAGGACGCTACCACCAACCCCCTGGATTCCCCCACAGGGAAACACTGATCTAGAGCTTTGTATGCGTTTATATATGTATGTGTATATATGTGTGTGTGCGTGCGTGTGTGTGCATGCGTGTGTGAGAGCGCGCGCGCGTGTGTGTGTGTGTAAGCCAAATGAATGGTTTCTGATATAGGCAAGAAGGCTCATTGAACGAGCCAGCAAAGAGTAGTAGATGTGGACTCCGCTGCTCCACTTGAGGCACGCCGATACAACTATAATGTTGCAAATTAACGGAAAGAATCCAGAGCACGAGAAACAACACAACAGTGTCAGTTTGTGCCCACTAGGCAGTACAAGCAAGGAGATTTATTTTAGCAGCCGGACAAAGCAGGCTGTCCGCTTGGAAGCAATGTTGTTTTGTCATGTAGTGGGATTGTTCATAAATCTGCTTGTTTGCAGTGGAAACTGTTTTTAAATCTACCTCTTTGCGAGCTTTATTAAACAGAAGACAGATGATGATATAGACAGAAGACAGATGGTGATATAGACAGAAGACAGATGGTGAGATAGACAGAAGATATATGGTGAGATAGATGGTGCTACAAATAGTTGACAGCGACATACAGAAAGATTACATGAAGGTAACAGGACAAAACGGAAGGTAGTGAGGACCAATAATAGTCCAATATTCAGAGAGAGAGAGAGAGAGAGAGAGAGAGAGAGAGAGAGAGAGAAAAAGAAAGAAAGAGAGAGAGAGAGAGAGAGAGGGTGGGGGGGGGAGAAAGAGAGAGGAAGAGAGGGGGCGGGGGAAGAAAGAGAGAGAAAGAGAGGAAGAGAGAGAGGGAGAGAGAGAGAGAGAGAGTGAGATAAAGAGTGAGCGATACATTTATAATGACAGAGAGGACAGATAGACGTATAACAATAGAACAATTATATTAATGACTTTGATAAACAAAAAAACAAAACAAAAAACACACAGACATAAAACAGTAGGCAAACCGCGAAGGCTTAGCCGGTCAACAAATGCCTGCAGACGTCAGAAATGTCAGCCGAATAGCGTAAATATCGCAGCCATGCTGTAAACAACAGGCGCAACGCAGATACATCTTCGGATAAACGCAGAAGACAATACAGAAAGCAGTATGGCGACAAGACGTATCGTTAAAACAGAAAAGTGATGCCACAGTGAAACTGATGCCGAAAGAAAAGATAAATGGCCAAACAAAAAATTGTAGTTCACGGAACTGGAAATAAGATAAATAGCTGAAACGAGAAAATTTATGACGTTAGAAAGAAAATGTCGATGAAAGCTAAAAAAAGATAAAATGAATTAATGCGAAACACCCAACTGACAGTGTGTACTATTAGTTTACTAGCCCCATTGAGAGGTGAATATTGAATTATCAATCAACATAATAACTCTCAAGACACTTCCATGAGCGCTTCTTCCCAATCTTCAGCAGCAAGCGAAGAGTTCCGATTCCTATGGTAAAAGGAACTGTCTAATTGTAATTCCGTCTCGCCTTTTCATCAAATGTAGAGCGTTGGCCAGATCCCCTTGTAACTCCTAAATTAAAAGGTTTATACATTGACTGAGTTGAGTAGAGTCAGCAACTGACATCGCAACACTCTAGAAATGTCCTTAACCACCCTGTCCTTAACCTCAGCAGCCAGCGAAGAGTTTAAATTTAACTTGTGCCGGTAACAGATTTTCTTCGGCATTCATATTTCGCTGTGTCTCGTCAGATACATTACTAGAGAGTTAACATCGACAGGTGAAGCACAACAATGAATCCTCTTTACTGAAGTAAACAAATCACATAGTCTTCTCAAGAAACACGATTTATCTCACTGTTTATCCGCTCTCATTTTCCAGAAGTTCAGAATATCGGGAAACAATGCTGTTGTTGGATATGACCTTTGGGAAACACTAACGATTGTATCAACAACAGTCTGTGAATAGCCTTAGTTATACTAGGAACTAACTAGATATGACATTTAGGAAACACTAACAATTGTATAAACAACAGTCTGGGAATATCCTTAATAAGACCTAACTAAATATGACATTTTGGAAACACTAACAATTGTATCAACAACAGTCTGGGAATAGCCTTTGTTATACTAGGACCCAACTAGCCTAGACTTGTAGTGTGCATCGGTAAATGTAGATACTGTAGCAACTACCACATTTCTGTACCAGATCTCCTCCCATGTGGCCACGGGTGAATGGTGTCCTGTGTGTGTGTGTGTGTGTGTCTGTGTGTGTGTGTGTATGTTATATTTGCTAATAAATAACAGCCAGCATTGGAGACTGAGAACCTACGGACATAAATAACATCTTTAATGGCCTTGACATTGAAACAAGTCACCAGAAACTGCGCAGATGGAAAGTTCATCGACAGACTGACCTTTTCTTAGGTCACCGAAACAGGAAGTGACCTTAAGTGATAATAATAGGGTATGGTTCGATTTGAGCGACTAAGTGGAATGCGAATTGTGAGGCCTGTTCTAGCAGCAAGAGTGGCGGCTGAAGGAGGAACACAGGAGAAACGTGATGATAAATATGAATATGGAAATGTCATGAAAATGAAAGAAAACGAGGAAGCTGTGAAAGAAAGGAAGAAGAAGAAAGAAAGATCGATTGAAAATTCTGAAAATGATGATGGAAACAAAGATAAAAAAAAAAAAAAAACTGGGAAGAAAAGAAGAAGAGAAAACAGAAACAGAGAGAGAAGAAGATAATGATGATAATAATGATGACAAGACGAATACTTTAACTCGATATGTTCAAGAACAGACCAGAAAGGGAGCAGACAGACAAATGAGAATATTTTCCCAAATTATCACTTCTGATAGCCATACATCTTTGTAAGATTTCATGATAATATAAGGCTATTGATTCTGTCAGTTTGAATTTATATACGTTAAAACAGCAAATGAAATGTCCACATTTCTTCATTCTCCTCGAATTGTTCGTTGTCGTATTCTTCTTAAATTAGTCCCTCGCAGCACTTTTATCCTCTAACATTTCTCTGATATACCCGCAGACAACAGAATCAATTCAACAGACGCTTTCACAGCCTGTAAATCACTTTT